TCTCTCCCTCTCCCTCCCCCCCCCCCCCCCCCCCCCAGGAAGGTCCTTGTCTCTTTGAGCTTCTGCTCCTGGGAGATCTTCATGTGTTTTGACATTTTTCTTCTCCCATCTCTGCTTCTGTTTCTTGCTTGTTTAATCTCTTTTATATCTCAAGAGATTGCCTCAAGATACACCCTACACTAATCCTGAACAAAGACAACTCATTCCCAAATGGGATTATAAACATGGGCATAGAGGTTAGGATTTACAATTCATATTTTTGGGACACACAATTCAATCCATAGCACCACGGAACTGTCAATGACATATATTCCTGTTCTACTATGGGACTGTGTGTGTGTGTGTGTGTGAGAGAGAGAGATTTGGGTAAAAGTTTACAGAGCAAATTCATTTTCCATACAGCAGCTCACATATACTTTGTCTCATGACATTGACTGCAATTTCCCACAATGCAACAGCTCCCCTCCCACTTTCTTCCCATAGTTACCTCTTCCCTGTGTCCTTCCCTCCCGTGCACTCCTTCCCCACAAGCTGTCTCCCTGTGCATACACAGCCCTTCTATTCTCCCACGATTGATCACTCCAAGGAGTGTATCTACCTAATGTAAATGTTCAGCTCATATGTCGGTCTTTTGCTTGGCTGGAGGTACTGTGGGTACTTTTTTTAAAACAAAACAAAATAAAATAAATACCTGTGTAACTGTGTCAAATATCTTTTTAGCATGTCTTGAGATATGAATGAAGGAGTTCTAGTGGTGCAGTGATTAAGGCATTTGGCTGTGAACCAAAAGGTCAATGGTTCAAACTCACCAGCTGCTCCACGCAAGAAAAACAAGGCAGTCTACTTCCATAAAGATTCACAGCCTTGAAAACCCAATGTGGGCTGCTAGGAGATTTGATAGTATAGTGCCTAAGGCACTTGACTGCTAACCAGAAGGCTGGTGGTTCAAACCCACCAGCCACTCCTTGGAAGGAAAGTTGGGCAATTAGTGATACTGCCTCAGAAACCCAAGGAGGGGTCACTATGAGTCGGGTCTGACTCAACGGCACATAACAACATCAACTCTGTAAAGATTTACTGCCTCAAAAACCCAGTGGGGGTCACTATGAGTTGGAATTGACTCAATGGCAGTGGATTTGGTTTGATTCATACATAAAATAATTCTAGAATTTTCTCTGTTTTGGTGCTTTCATCATCAGGTTTGGGAAACAATTTCATGATGGCTCCCTAATTTGAAAGGTTCTTCTTTATGTTTTAAAAAGTTTAAACAGTACCAGGATAATCTGATCCTTGAAGGTTTAAAATAATTCATCTGTGAAACTCTAGATTTGGTGCTTCAGGGAAGATGGCTTTTCCCTCAGTTTTTCAATTTCTCAGAGTTACTGGTCTGTGCCAGTACGTTATGTTTACCTTGAAGCCATTCACGTTATCCTCGTTTTCACATTTCTTGCCCTAGAGTTTTGCAAAGAACTCTTTAATGATTCTGCTAAATCTGTGGTTTATTTCTCCCTTTCCTTATTTCTAGTTTTATATATTTCTGCATTGTCACTTCCATGTCTCAGTTAGATTAACAAGTATTTTATCTATTGTTTTTCATTTGTTTATTAAAATAATTCCACTCTGGAATTTAATAGTCTTATAATGTTTTACCTTGCTTATTTCTTTATACATTCATTAGGTTTATTTATTGTGGTGATGTTTGGTTGTTGGTTTTTTTTTTTTTTGTCATTTTGTTTCTGTTTTTTATGAACTTCTTTGAATTGAATATTTTATTGATACTCTTAATTAGTGATATAATTCAGAGCTGTGGGTTTTCCTCTGGACAATGCTTTAGCCATAGCTCTTAGCTTTTGAACTATAGGGCTTTCATTATCCTAAACATTCTTTCTAGACATTCTGCAACTTTAATCCTGATTTATTTATGACCTAAGAGTTGTTGTTTTTTTTTTTTTTTTAAAAAGGAATTTTTAATTTACCAGCTATTGGAGGAGGTATGTATTCTATTTTAGTTATTATGCCCAGTTTCTTTGCTTTGTAATCACAGAATATATTAATGCTATTTCCACCTTTTAGACTCTAGCCATGTTCTTCATGTTCTTCATGCCTAATGGATAATCAAAGTCTGTAAATATTCAATCAAACCAAAACCAAACTTACTGCCATTGAGTCAATTCAGAATCATAACAACACTCATTGGGTTTCTAAGGCAGTAAATCTTTACAGAATTAGATTGCCCCATCTTCCTTCAGCAGAGTAGCTAGTGGGTTTGAACTGCCAACCTTCTGGTTAGCAGTCAAATGCCTTAGGCACTATGCCACCAGAGCACCTTAAATGTTCAATAGGCACTTAAAAAAAAAAAAAAAAAAAAGATGTATTGTCTGTTATCAGGTTGTCGTTGTTGTTATATGCCGTGGAGTCTGCCCGACTCACAGCAACCGCTCCTTGGGTTTCCAAGGCAGTATCACTACAGAAGTAGATTGCCCAACCTTCCTTCCGAGGAGTGGCTGGTGGGTTTGAACCACCAGCCTCCTGGTTAGCAGTCAAGTGCCTTAGGCACTATGCTACCAGAGCTCCTAAGGTTATCAGGTTAGAGAAACAGATTTGTCAGTTGCTGACGAGTGGTTTCAAACTCATGGCGACCCCATATGTTACATAGTAGAACTGTTGTTTTCTCTGCTGTGATCTTAATGGAAAAAGATCACAGGGCCTATTCTTCCACAGTATCACTAGGTGGATTCAAACCACCAACCTTCAGGTTAGCAGTTAAGCACAAACTGCTTGTGCCACATGGGGGTCAGAAGCTGATAGAGCTATAGAATGAATTCTGTTAACTATATCTTTTACATCCTCTATAAATCTCTACTTATTTTTTTGGTCCACCTGACAGTGAGCTACCTGTGCTGACAAATAAAATTAGACTCCAGCTGCTAGATTTTCTGTTGATTTTGCCTTCAATTTCATGGAGCTTATTTTATGACTCTTGGTCATAAAGATTTATGCTATTTGGTGTATAAAGATTAATGGCAGTTATATTTTCATTGTATCTTGTATTCTTTCTCATTATGAGGAGTTCCTGGGAGGTGCAAATGGTTAATGTACTTGGCTGCTAACCAAAAATTTGGAAGTTCAAGTCCATCAATAGGCATCTCTGAAGGCTTGATGACCTACTGTAGAAAAATCCATTCTTGAAAACCTTACTGAGCACAGTTTTATTGTGACACACATGGGTCACCATGAGTTAGGATTGACTCCATAGCAAGTGTTTTAGTGGGGTGTTTTTCCTCATTATGAAGTGACTTTTCTGATTTTTTAAATTTACTTTCCATAAAAGCCTTGTCGGTGACTAATATTGTGACCGAGCTTTCTTTTTGTTAGCATCTGTCTGTATGCCTTCTTTTGTTCACTTTTAACCTTTATGGGTCATTCTTATCAGTAACTACCTCATGTATAGAGCAGGTAGCCAGGTTTTGTTTTTTGGACCCAATAGGGGAAATTTTTCTTTTTATAGGAGAAAATTACAATCTTGCATTTATTGGCATAACAGATAAGTTTAATCATAATCCAGTTACTTTATTACAGGACGTTCCTGGGTTACAAACGTCCAGCTTATATACAGCCAGCCCATAATTAAGAACCCATCCCTGTAAAGTCTTTATGTTAAAAATTCAAAGTACATATAATTGTTTGTAATAACAAAAGGGTGCTACTTTGTAACACACATCAAAACATTTTATATGTTAAAGTTGTTTTAGTATATCTGGAAGTATTTCTTTAATAATTTGTATGCCTAGAAATGTAGACTGTATACTCTATACTAAGGCTAGCAGTTCAAACCCACCAGCCACTCCTTGGAAGGAAGATGGGCCATCTATTTCTGTAGTGATACTGCCTCGGAAACCCAAGGAGGGGTTGCTATGAGTCGGGGCCCACTCGATGGCACATAACAACATACTCTATACTAAGACAAACATTTGACTAAGTGTTGTTGGATCTGAACTGTACCTAACCGTTCTGACTGAAGCACAGATTCGACTTAAAGACAGACTTAGGAATGGAACTCATTTATAATGTAGGAACTGTCTATGGATGATGTTATGTGTATTATGTCTGTAAAGACTAGCCCGCAGAGTTCCCAAAATTGCATATAGAATTTTAAATATACATACATTCACTTTTGAGGGAAGAGACCCCAAAGCAGTTAAGGACTACTGCCTTAAGTTTTTTTCTATATGAAAAACTCCCAATTCCTTCAGTTGCTTCCTTGCTGATGGAAGACCCAGATTCTTGTCCCCCTGGAATCTTCCTATTGACTCACCTACTTTGTCATTAAGGGGCTCTGGTGGTGTAGTAGTTAAGCCATTTGGCTGCTAACCAAAAAGTTGGCGGTTCACACCCACCAGCCATTGGACATAAGTTCCTTGAGAACATATGACAAATCCTGAAATCCTATAAATCACAGCTCATTGGAAATACTTGGTCTTAGAAGATTCAAGACTCATGTATCGTCTGCTTTGTCTGCCTCTGGCTCCACTGAGGCAGACTTGCTTTCTTCTCCTCACTTCCTAGTTTCTTAGTGTTGCTACAACAGAAATAACACATGTAGGTAGTTTTAAAGAGTAGCAATTTATTTTCTCACAGTTCGGGAGGTTAGAAGTCCAGATTCAGGGCACTGGCTTTCAGGGAAGGTGTGCTTTCTGTTCGCTCTGGAGGCAAATCCTCATCTCAGCTTCTCTAGCCCCGGTTTTCTTCGGTTCCTTGGAGGTCTCCATGGGGCGTTTATCATTCTCCCATTTGTGCCTCCTTGCTTCTTTCTCTGTCTAATCTGCTGTTTGCATATCTCAAAAACTCATTAGGTTTAAGGCACACCCTGCGTGGATATGGCCTCATCAACATAACAAAGAAACCCTTATTCCCAAATGGGATGGTATTCACAGGATCCCAACATGGTTTTTTTTTTTTTTTTGGGGGGGGGGGGACACCATTTAATTCATAGCACTTACCCACAGGTTCTGTAACTGAACACAATGAAGCTTTCTTCATCAGTTCTCTCAATGAAGGTCACACAGGTGTGCTTCTCCCAGTGTCTCATGGCCTGCTTAAAAATGGCTCTCTGGCTTCCTGAAACGACAGGGCACATGCTCTCATCTCTTCATTCCTGTGTCTTTAAGCTCCTCAGATGCTTTAAGGTATGCTTGTTATATGATCAAAAATCTGTTGTTCTGATGGCCCATAAAAGTAATGCACCAGGAATAAGGATGTCTCCTACTAAGAACGTAGTGCGCTGTTGTCGCTGGGTGCGTCAAGCTGGTTCTGATTCGTAGCGACCCCATAAGACAGAGTAGACTGCTCCACGGGGTCTGCTTGGCTGTGATCTTTACAGAAACAGAGCGCCAGGTCTTTCACCTGCTGCTAAGTGGGTTCAATCCACCGACCTTTCCTTCGGTTACCAGCCAAGAGCTTAAAACTGCGTAAGTTTTCAGCATTGTCAAAGCCTGGAAACCAAGACATTTATGGATTGGATGGGAGGGGAAAACAGATTTTCAAAATAGCCTGGGCTTCTCAACTTTTCCCTTGTATTGAAAGTATTTTTTCTAAACATTAAAAAAAATAATAATAAAGGCTTACCTAGTTTTTTCAATTCTGAAATTGTTGGCTTTTGAAGTATAAGGTAAGTCACCTCCCCAGCAATGCCTCCCACCCTTCATTTCATTTCATAACTGTAGGGGATGCTTCTATGTACTAAAAAATTCTATTTGCTTGTACATCTCGGCTACTCTTGCATGTTGTTTATGTGTCTTCTAGGGGAACGTTGAACCCAATTTTCTACAAACCCTTTAAAAACAGGTTAATTCCTCACTTTCCCTGAACCTATCTCCAAAGTTCCTTGATTAGAAATTTGTTGAATCAAATAAATTATCTGGGAGCAGGAATAAGGGAGTTGTAAACTTCAGGATGATGGCTATGCAAAAATCAATAAGCATTCACTTTAAGATCAATCAAGCTGGCAGAAAGAACTCTATTACAATATTTACTAGAGAGCAAATAATAGATCTAGAAAAATAGTTGTTTGGGAAGTACAAAGGATTTGGGGGGAGAGTCCAAGTTCTGGAATTACTTCACAGCAGTCATGGAGGTTCCCACCATAATCTGGAAGATGTTAGTTTGATGACATATTGTTTATAGAATAAAGAGTAACCTAGCTGACCATTTTTTGTTTTATATCTTGAGACTTTTGATTCAAATTGTTCATGGCCCAATCTCTCATCAAACAGCAACCAAGCATAGTAGAATTGCACTATAAGGTTTCCAAGCCTGTCAATCTTATGGAAGCAGACTGCCTCGTCTTTCTCCCAAAGAGTAGTTGGTGGGTTTGAACTGCCAACCTTTTGTTTTGCAGCCAAATGTTTTAATCACTATGCCACCAGAGCTCCTCAAGTTTGATGAAGGTAACATAGATCTTTGGTCAGGAAAACATACCAGATGCTGAAAGAACACAATTAGGATACCAAAGAACAAAAGTTAGCAGGTGTTTATAATTCCTACATGTCAATTCTTTGTGCACACATCTTTCTCTCCTATTATGTTGAGAGTCTTGGGGGCAAGGTGAAGTCTTAGCCATGTCTTTATCACTAGCACCTAACTGAGTGTC